GTGTGAGTGTGGGTGTGTGAGGGTATGTGTGTGTGTGAGGGTGTATGAGTGTGTGTATTGAGGGTGTGTGAGTGTGTGTGTGTTGAGAGTCAGTGTGTGAGTGTGGGTGTGTGTGAGTGTGGGTGTGTGAGTGTGTGTGGTTGTGTGTGTGAGTGTGTGTGTGTGGGTATGTGTGTGTGAGGTTGTGTGTGTGTGTTGAGAGTGAGTGGGTGAGTCAGTGTGAGTGTGTATGTGAGTGTGTGTGAGGTTGTGTGTGTGAGGGTGTGTGTTGAGAGTGAGTGGGTGAGTCAGTGTGAGTGTGTGTGAGTGAGTGAGTGTGAGGGTGTGAGTGTGAGGGTGTGTGTGTGTGTGAGGTTGTGTGTGTGTGAGGGTGTGTGTTGAGAGTGAGTGGGTGAGTCAGTGTGAGTGTGTGTGAGTGAGTGAGTGTGAGGGTGTGTGTGTTGAGAGTGAGTGGGTGAGTGTGAGGGTGTGTGAGTGTGTGTGAGATTGTGTGTGTGTGTGAGGATGTGTGAGAATGTGTGTGTGAGTGTGTGAGGGTGTGTGTGTGAGTGAGTGTGTGTGTGAGGTTGTGTGAGAGTGTGTGAGTGTGGGTGTGTGAGAGTATGTGTGTGTGAGGTTGTGTGAGTGTGGGTGTTTGAGAGTATGTGTGAGTGTGTGTGTGTGTTGAGAGTGAGTGGGTGTGTGAGTGTCTGTGTGTGTGTGAGGCTGTGTGTGTGTGTGAGGGTGTGTGAGTGTGTGTGTGTGTTCGAGCGAGAGTGAGCAAGTGTGAGTGTGTGTTCGAGTGAAAGTGAGAGAGTGTGAGTGAGTGTGTTCGAGCGAGAGTGAGAGAGTGTGAGGTGTGTATGTTCAAGCGAGTGTGTGTGTGTGTGTGTTCAAGTGAGAGTGAGCGAGTGTGAGTGTTCGAGCGAGAGTGAGCAAGTGTGAGTGTGTGTTCGAGCGAGAGTGAGAGAGTGTGAGTGTGTGTGTTCGAGCGAGAGTGAGAGAGTGTGAGTGTGTGTGTGTGTTCGAGCGAGAGTGAGAGTGTGTGAGTGAGTGTGTGAGAGCGAGTGTGTGTGTTCGATCGAGAGTGAGAGTGTGTATGTAAATGTGCGTGTGTGTTCGAGCGAGAGAGTGAGAGAGTGTGTGTGTGTTCGAGCGAGAGAGTGTGAGTGTGTGTGTGGGTGAGTATGGGTAAGTGAGTGTGAGTGTTGAGAGTGTGTGGGTGAGTGGGTGAGTGTGGGCGAGTGTGGGTGAGTGAGTGTGAGTGTTGAGAGTGGGTGGGTGAGTGTGAGTGTTGACAGTGTGTGGGTGAGTGTGTGTGAGTGTTGACAGTGTGTAGGTGAGTGGGTGAGTGGGTGAGTGTGTGTGAGTGTGTGCTTGAATGTGGGTGAGTGAATGTGAGTGTTAAGAGTGGGTGGGTGAGTGTGAGTGTTGACAGTGTGTGGGTGAGTGTGGGTGAGTGTGTGTGAGTGTTGACAGTGAGTGGGTGAGTGGGTGAGTGTGTGTGAGTGTTGACAGTGTGTGGGTGAGTGTGTGTGAGTGTGTGGGTGAGTGTGGGTGAGTGAATGTGAGTGTTGAGAGTGGGTGGGTGAGTGTGAGTGTTGACAGTGTGTGGGTGAGTGTGTGTGAGTGTGTGTGAGTGTGTGGGTGAGTGTGGGTGAGTGAATGTGAGTGTTGAGAGTGGGTGGGTGAGTGTGAGTGTTGACAGTGTGTGGGTGAGTGTGGGTGAGTGTGTGTGAGTGTTGACAGTGAGTGGGTGAGTGTGTGTGAGTGTTGACAGTGTGTGGGTGAGTGTGTGTGAGTGTGTGTGAGTGTGTGTGAGTGTGTGGGTGAGTGTGGGTGAGTGAATGTGAGTGTTGACAGTGTGTGGGTGAGTGTGTGTGAGTGTTGACAGTGTGTGGGTGAGTGTGTGTGAGTATGTGTGAGTGTGTGTGAGTGTGTGGGTGAGTGTGGGTGAGTGAATGTGAGTGTTGAGAGTGGGTGGGTGAGTGTGAGTGTTGACAGTGTGTGGGTGAGTGTGGGTGAGTGTGTGTGAGTGTTGACAGTGAGTGGGTGAGTGTGTGTGAGTGTTGACAGTGTGTGGGTGAGTGTGTGTGAGTGTGTGTGAGTGTGTGGGTGAGTGTGTGTGCGTGTGTTGGTGAGTTTGGCTAAGTGAACGTGAGTGTTGAGTGTGGGTGAGTGAGTGTGAGTGTTGACAGTGTGTGGGTGAGTGTGTGTGAGTGTGTGTGAGTGTGTGGGTGAGTGCGTGTGCGTGTGTCGGTGAGTGTGGGTAAGTGAACGTGAGTGTTGAGTGTGGGTGAGTGTGTGCGAGTGTTGACAGTGTGTGGGTGAGTGGGTGAGTGTGTGTGAGTGTGTGTGCGTGTGTGGGTGAGTGTGGGTAAGTGAACGTGAGTGTTGAGTGTGGGTGAGTGTGTGTGAGTGTTGACAGTGTGTGGGTGAGTGGGTGAGTGTGCGCGAGTAAGCATTGAGAGTGTGTGGGTGTGTGTGTGAGAGCGAGAGTGAGCGAGTGTGAGTTGTGTTGGGCGAGTGTGTGTTGGTGAGTTGTGTTGGTGAGTGTGTGGGTGATTGCGTAGGTGAATGAGTGCGTGGGTGAATGAGTGAGTGCCTGGGTGAATGAGTGAGTGCGTGGGTGAAAGAGTGAGTGCGTGAGTGAAAGAGTGAGTGCGTGGGTGAAAGAGTGAGTGCATGGTTGAATGAGTGAGTGCGTGAAAGAGTGAGTGCGTGGGTGAAAGAGTGAGTGCGTGGGTGAATGAGTGAGTGCGTGGGTGAATGAGTGAGTGCGTGGGTGAATGAGTGAGTGCGTGGGTGAATGAGTGAGTGCGTGGGTGAATGAGTGAGTGCGTGGGTGAATGAGTGAGTGCGTGGGTGAAAGAGTGGATGAGTGAATGAGTGCGTGGGTGAATGAGTGAGTGCGTGGGTGAAAGAGTGGATGAGTGAATGAGTGCGTGGGTGAATGAGTTAGTGCGTGGGTGAGTGTGGGTGAGTGCCACGGATGAGTCACAGGAACAGACGAGGATGACACACACACCTCTAATACGCATACATAGACATACACATACCGTTAGTGAGACACGCGCATAGATATACACACAGACACATGTTTGGAGACATTCAGATAGGGAGACTTATACAGACATAGAGAGACATACATTTACACATTGGTACATATATATACATACGCACAGACACAAATAAATACGCATGTAGATCCAATAAGAGACACGCACATTATCTCATAGATAAAGATCCCCCGTATAGCCCTAACAGACTGCAGGGGCAAGTGCTGTTCGCGAGCACCTATTGAGACGGGAACGAGGTGCCGGGGTTGGCAAACGCCACCCACGCCCGGCCGCCTTTGTCTCCCCGGTGTCGATTGTTTGCACACCGCAGCAGGTGCTGCCCATTGAAGGCTGAGTCGACCTAGGCGCGCACACACACACGCGCACACACACACGCGCACACACACACGCGCACACACACACGCGCACACACACACGCGCACACACACACGCGCACACACACACGCGCACACACACACGCGCACACACACACGCGCACACACACACACGCACACACGCACGCGCGCGCGGCCAAACCACGCAGCACGCACGCGCGCGCACACCACTCCCATTACCCACTCTCATCATCAGCAGCAGCAGACGGATCCGCTGGACCCCGAGAGCTCTGTCCTGAGCGTCTGTTCGTGTGATTCCAGCAGCATCATCATTGTCAGCAGCAATCATCAGCAGCAGCAGCATCATCATCAGCAGCAGCAGCAGCGTCAGCAGCAGCAGAATCGTCAGCAGCAGCAGCATCAGCATCAACATCATCAGCAGCAGCGTCAGCAGCAGCTGCAGAATCGTCAGCAGCATCAGCAGCAGCAGCATCAGCAGCAGCAGCAGCATCATCATCATCAGCAGCAACAGCAGCAGCAGAATCGTCAGCAGCAGCAGAATCGTCAGCATCAGCATCAGCAGCATCAGCAGCAGCATCATCATCAGCAGCAGCAGCGTCAGCAGCAGCAGAATCGTCAGCAGCAGCATCAGCAGCAGCAGCATCAGCAGCATCATCATCATCAGCAGCAGCAGCAGCGCCAGCAGCAGCAGAATCGTCAGCAGCAGCAGCATCAGCAGCAGACGGATCCGCTGGACCCCGAGAGCTCTGTCCGGAACGTCTTTTCGCGTGATTCCAGCAGCAGCAGAATCTTTATCAGCATCATCAGCAGCAGCAGCAGCAACAGAATCTTCATCAGCATCATCAGCAGCAGCAGCAGACGGCTCGCTGGACTCCGGGAACTCTGTCCAGAGAGTGCGACTTTTCGCTGATTCCAGCAGCAGAAGCATCATCATCAGCATCAGCAGCAGCAGCATCATCAACAGCAGTAGCAGCATCATCATCAGCAGCAGCATCATCAGCAGCAGCATCATCAGCAGAGTGCTCGCTGGACACCCGGGAGCTCTGTCCGGACAGTGCAACTTTTCGCCGATTCCAGCAGCAGCATCATCAGCATTATCAGCAGTATCATCATCATCAGCAGCAGCAGCAGCGCTTCCCACTACACTCGGGCTACATCATCGCAAAGCGCCGGGCTCGCTCCAGCTGCTTCTGACCGGCTTGCTGTGTATTGGGACGCGCGCATAACCCCCCCCCCCCCCCCCAAATAGTGTTCCAGCGACTCTCCCAGAGATTCTGAGAGTTAATCGGCACAGCGAGTAAGCTGTAATATTTATTTTTTTACAAAAATTACATAGAAAACAGGGGGAACATAGACACAGAGTAAGGAGAGAGAGGGGTGGGGGTAGAGAGAGGGGGTAGAGAGAGAGAGAGAGGGAAGGGGTAAGAACCACACGCAGAGCGTGAAATCTTTCGTGAAATCTTTCATTTAAACAGCGGGGGGCGGAGGGGGGGTTACATAAAGCAAAACATTAAAAAGGAAAAAACCCGAAATGATGAACGAAGCAAAGTGCCGACTACACCAAGCATCTTCTCGTTTCCTCTGATCGTCAAAAAAGAGAGAGAGAGATAGCGAGCGAGCGAGCGAGAGCCACACACACACGGGAGAGAAAGGGAGAGAGACCGAGAGAGAGAGAACGCGTAGGGAGAGATCAACAGACGAGATCACAAGAGCGATAGGCGGACACAGAGGAGGAAGAAGAAGAGGAGGAGGAGGAAAATAATTGAGGCGTCCGCAGAACTTGGAAGGCGATGCGAACCGTGCCGGCCTAGGTTCGCGGGGAGGACCGGGGTGGAGGGCGTGGTGATGGCGTTCGGAGAGCGAGACTCTTGGAGGCGGATGATGCTGCTGATGATGATGATGTTGCTGGATTGCGTGCAGGTAAGGTCCCACTCCCCACCTCCCCCAATCTCGTGTGTGTCGCTTACAAGTCATCGCGCACCATCGCCATCATCGTCATCAGCATCGGCCAATGTCTATCTACTGCTGGATAAAGTCCTCCGATCATCATCATCATCATCAGCACATCATCATCAGCCAGGGTCAATCGAATACTAAGAGGGGGTATTTCGCGAGCATCTCCATATTCGTAATTTATTATAAGTCCTGGTCTCTCCGCTGTTGGATCAAAGCTCCGCATTGCAAGCGACGATTCGAGAACCACACGCGATCCTACGGTGGCTTTGACTACAACCGGCGCATTTGAGATGCAATGAATGGCACCGAATAATGTAAGAGGTTGTTGTTGTTGTTTTAGTTGTGGTTGTGAGCTAGCACCCGCGTGCAGAATACGTCGCTTTGAGATGCTTCATTCGGAAAGGTCACTTCATAATGTAAGAGGTTATTATTGTTCTTCTTTGGTTCTTTCGGTAAAGTCACGTAGAATGAGACTAAAAATATAAAATAAAACAATACAATTCTCACGACGTTTCGGCCACAACACAAGTGGCCTTCTTCAGGTGAAAGAAACAGACCTGTTGGGACGACAGAGCTTCAACAAACGCTGTCGTCCCAACAGGTCTGTCCCTTTCACCTGAAGAAGGCCACTTGTGTTGTGGCCGAAACGTCGTGAGAATTTTATTGTTTTATTTTATTATTTTATTCTCATTCTACGTGACTTTACCGAAATAACCAAAGAAGATGAATCCTTGCAGTCACGAAAGCTTTAAATCGAAAGTTATTATTGTTGTTGTTATTCTTGGTTCTTTCGGTAAGGTCACGTAGAAGGGAAACAATAAAATAATAAAAATATATAACACTAAAATTCACACGACGTTTCGACTGCAACACAAGCAATCATCATCAGGTGTGAAAACCACAGCTGTGAGAATTTTACTGGTTTATATTTTTATTATTTTATCGTTTCCCTTCTACGTGACTTTACCGAAAGAACCAAGAATATGAATCCCTGCTGTCACGAAAGCTTTAAATCTAAAGTTATTATTGTTGTTGTTATTGTTGTTGTTGCTAGCTAGCCCCCGCCTGCACACGCAGACAGATTCTATCGCTCCATCTCCCACCCACCCTGGGTGGTCTCTGCTCCGACTCGTCCCGTCTTGCCGCTTCGCTATGAGTCCCGACCATCATCATCATCATCGCTCTCATCATCAATCACTCGAGGTGGTCCGCGAGTTCTCAACCTTTCTATCGATCGTTTTGCTTGAACCCCACAGTGAGTTTGAACTCTACCGTGAGCTTGAACCCCACAGGGAGCTTGAACCCCACAGGGAGCTTGAACCCCACAGGGTGCTTGAACTCTACAGGGAGCGTGAACTCTACCGTGAGCTTGAACCCCACAGTGAGCTTGAACCCCACAGGGAGCTTGAACTCTACCGGGAGCTTGAACCCCACAGTGAGCTTGAACCCCACAGGGAGCTTGAACCCTACCGGGAGCTTGAACCCCACAGGGAGCTTGAACCCTACAGGGAGCTTGAACCCCACATGGAGCTTGAACTTCACAGGGAGCTTGAACTCTACCGTGAGCTTGAACCCCACAGGGAGCTTGAACCCCACAGAGAGCTTGAACCCTACCGGGAGCTTGAACCCCACAGGGAGCTTGAACCCACAGGGAACTTGAACTCTACAAGGAACTTGAACCCCACAGGGAGCTTGAACCCCACAGGGAGCTTGAACCCCACAGGGAGCTTGAACCCCACAGGGAGGTTGAACCCCACAGGGAGCTTGAACCCTAACGGGAGCTTGAACCCTACCGGGAGCTTGAACCCCACAGGGAGCTTGAACTCTACCGGGAGCTTGAACCCTAACGGGAGCTTGAACCCTACCGGGAGCTTGAACTCTACCGTGAGCTTGAACCCCACAGGGAGCTTGAACTCTACCGGGAGCTTGAACCCTAACGGGAGCTTGAACCCTACCGGGAGCTTGAACCCCACAGGGAGCTTGAACCCCACAGGGAGCTTGAACCCCACAGGGAACTTGAACCCCACAGGGAACTTGAACCCCACAGGGAGCTTGAACCCCACAGGGAACTTGAACCCCAGAGGGAACTTGAACCCCACAGGGAACTTGAACCCCACAGGGAACTTGAACCCCACAGGGAACTTGAACCCCACAGGGAACTTGAACCCCACAGGGAACTTGAACCCCACAGGGAACTTGAACCCCCGAGGGAACTTGAACCCCACAGGGAACTTGAACCCCACAGGGAGCTTGAACCCACAGGGAACTTGAACCCCACAGGGAACTTGAACCCCACAGGGAGCTTGAACCCCACAGGGAACTTGAACCCCACAGGGAGCTTGAACCCCACAGGGAACTTGAACCCCACAGGGAACTTGAACCCCACAGGGAACTTGAACCCCACAGGGAACTTGAACCCCACAGGGAACTTGAACCCCACAGGGAGCTTGAACCCCACAGGGAGCTTGAACCCCACAGGGAGCTTGAACCCCACAGGGAACTTGAACCCCACAGGGAACTTGAACCCCACAGGGAGCTTGAACCCCACAGGGAGCTTGAACCCCACAGGGAGCTTGAACCCCACAGGGAACTTGAACCCCACAGGGAACTTGAACCCCACAGGGAGCTTGAACCCCACAGGGATTTTGAACCCCACAGGGAGCTTGAACCCCACAGGGAGCTTGAACCCCACAGGGAGCTTGAACCCCACAGGGATTTTGAACCCCACAGGGAGCTTGAACTCTACAGGGAACTTGAACCCCACAGGGAACTTGAACTCTACCGGGAGCTTGAACCCCACAGGGAGCTTGAACCCCACAGGGAGCTTGAACCCTACCGGGAACTTGAACCCCACAGGGATCTTGAACCCCACAGGGAGCTTGAACCCCACAGGGAGCTTGAACCCCACAGGGAGCTTGAACCCCACAGTGAGCTTGAACTCTACAGGGAGTTTGAACCCCACAGGAAGCTTGAACCCCACAGGGAACTTGAACCCCACAGGGAACTTGAACCCCACAGGGAGCTTGAACCCTACCGGGAGCTTGAACCCTACCGTGAGCTTGAACCCTACCGGGAGCTTGAACCCTACCGGGAGCTTGAACCCTACCGGGAGCTTGAACCCCACAGGGAACTTGAACCCCACAGGGAGCTTGAACCCCACAGGGAGCTTGAACCCCACAGGGAACTTGAACCCCACAGGGAACTTGAACCCCACAGGGAGCTTGAACCCCACAGGGAGCTTGAACCCCACAGGGAACTTGAACCCCACAGGGAACTTGAACCCCACAGGGAACTTGAACCCCACAGGGAACTTGAACCCCACAGGGAACTTGAACCCCACAGGGAGCTTGAACCCCACAGGGAACTTGAACCCCACAGGGAACTTGAACCCCACAGGGGACTTGAACCCCACAGGGAGCTTGAACCCCACAGGGAACTTGAACCCCACAGGGAACTTGAACCCCACAGGGCGCTTGAACCCACAGGGAGCTTGAACCCCACAGGGAACTTGAACCCCACAGGGGACTTGAACCCCACAGGGAGCTTGAACCCCACAGGGAACTTGAACCCCACAGGGAACTTGAACCCCACAGGGAGCTTGAACCCCACAGGGAACTTGAACCCCACAGGGAGCTTGAACCCCACAGGGAACTTGAATCCCACAGGGAGCTTGAACCCCACAGGGAGCTTGAACCCCACAGGGAGCTTGAACCCTACCGGGAACTTGAACCCACAGGGAACTTGAACCCCACAGGGAACTTGAACCCCAGAGGGAACTTGAACCCCACAGGGAGCTTGAACCCCACAGGGATCTTGAACCCCACAGGGAACTTGAATCCCACAGGGAGCTTGAACCCCACAGGGAGCTTGAACCCCACAGGGAGCTTGAATCCCACAGGGAGCTTGAACCCACACGAGTCGCGATGCGACTCGTGTGGGTTCAAGCTCTCATCCGTGGCGTGAGGGGGTGGGGGGCACGGGCAAGGGGTGCCTGAGCCCCCACCCCCTCTCCCCCCCCCCCACCCCCTAGTGGCGAAATCTACGAGTTGGGCCCCCCCCCCCCCCAACCTTAACAATCACCATGATGAGATGAACTTTAATTTAAATAAAAATAGTTTAAATAGAAAAAGCATACGAAATATTTAAAACGATCCATGCCGGGCCCAAGCTTTACATTTTTTTTTTTTTTTTAATGAAAATGCGTTCAAAAGGAACTCCACTTTCTGGTGTATTTCTTGTCATGAGATAGGCGTCAAGGAGATTGCAAAGAAGGGGTAGCTACTACTACGGAAGGAGCTGCAGTGGGCTGCATTTTTCGGAGACGGAGGCGCCCCCAACAGCGTTAAATGTTCGAAATCGTGAGCGTGACGACGGTGTCGATGAGGCAAAGACGATCCGCGATACAGAATAACCTCTCGGTGCCAGCGTGCGAGACAAATCAGATATTAGGGCCCCACCTGACTGATTGCAGCACGCCCTGAGCTGATGTCGTTACTACACCACTGATGATGTAGTTACTACGCCACTGATGATGTAGTTACTACACCACTGATGATGTAGTTACTACGCCACTGATGATGTAGTTACTACGCCACTGATGATGTAGTTACTACGCCACTGATGATGTAGTTACTACACCACTGATAATGTAGTTACTACGCCACTGATAATGTAGTCACTACACCACTGATAGTGTAGTTACTACACCAATGATAATGTAGTTACTACACCACTGGTGATGTAGTCACCACACCACTGATAATGTATTTACTACACCACTTATAATGTAGTTACTACACCACTGATAATGTAGTTACTACACCACTGATGATGTAGTTACTACACCACTGATGATGTAGTTACTACACCACTGATGATGTAGTTACTACGTCACTGATAATGTCGTTACTACACCACTGATGATGTAGTTACTACACCACTGATAGTGTAGTTACTACACCACT